ACCTCTGTTCTTTTCTGCTTTCAGGTAATTTACAAGGAAAAATGGTTGATTACGTGGCCCTAACCATCCAAGTGATGCATGGGACATCGCTAGCCTTCCTCACCTGTGATTGCGATTGTCTTGTCACATACCCCTCAAAGACGCCACCCCCACTCACTACGGTAAGAGCCTCAGGTGCTCATAGGGTCCTAAGGTAGGGATGAAGTAGCGCTCGCAGACTATTTTTTCCAAAAAGGTGTGTTCCCCTTAATGGTTGGCAAAATTGTGCGCGTTCATTCTTTAGCTTGTACAAGCACTTGGATGGTTAACTGGATTAGAGTGACTGGTTGACCCATGACGAGTTCCACAGACCGCGCGACCGTGTTATCCTTAGCCGCTGCGCTAACACGAAGTGGTCAGAGGTGACACAGCGTCAGCGAACGCGAAAAGTATTGATTCACCGTTACTGGGTTATCGGGCCGAACTATCAGGTTTCCGTGATTTGACCTTGATTTGCATCGGGTTATCGGTTCTTCCCGAGTATCAGGTTTCACAGGATTATCCAAGATCACTAATTATCTCCTGGCAAGCTAGGAAACTGCTTAAAGGCAGCGCTCGCGTTGTTCCTACGCCCTCGATATCGTAGTTTTGTTACTTATTTCGCAGGAAGGGGCCGCCCGCTTGTGAAGAGGACGCCGCCCCGCCCATCCAGCTGCCATAACTGCTGTGACTTAGCCTTTAACGGCTGAGCCAGATTTCAAGAATAATGATTTATGGAGCTCATATAATACGTGATCCAGTAATGAAGAAAAAAAGCAGAAAAAAAATCATGGAAAATGCCCTATTTAGAACACTGTGCTAGCCAGGTGGGAGAGGTGGCCGACTCTTCGCTAGCAAACGGCGCTATCCTCTCGCCTTTCTGAGATGCAAAACTGGTACATACTGCATCCTCATAAGGAGGGCTATGATATCCAGAGATGGCACGGGAACACCACTTCGTACAGATCAGTCGTATTCCTTCCCTATTCACAGTTGGAATCATTGCAATCAGTCGGGTCGGTTTCAAGAGTGATGGGATGACCCTACCTGTGGCGTCTCACCATTGGTTGTTTTCTTCCTGAATCGATCACTAGTCGAAGACCATTGGTAGAGCAAGTAAGCCGGAGGCGGGCTCATCCTGCCCTCTTCACCCCCCCCCCCATGCATGCAATGGTACCTGTCGTTGGGCCCAAGCACCTTCAGAGCGTCTAGTTATGATTACCGGAGTCAAACCAAATTACTAACAATAGCACGAGTAGCATAACAAAAGGAACAAAAAAATGGTACAAACTCCGATCAAAGCTGCACATCAAATTTCCATTTGCCGTTACACGACATTTCAGTGCGACGAATATTCGTGTGATGTTACGAGTCCCCAAGAGCCACAAGTACAACGGAACCCAGCGATACTTGGCCCGCTTTGCAGACGTGAAGTGATTTGCCCGGTGGTTTAGGGACTTGCCTGTCCAAAATAAAAATCCACAAATGCCGAATTTTTCTGAGCAGTATGCATAACTTCTGGTCGAGTGGAGTAAGACATAGGGCGAGAGCGCAAGTTTTCGGCGCTGATCGCGAAATATGCCATGGAGAAAGATCACTGTTAGGTCTGGACACCAGCGCACGCCATCTTTGAGTAAACCATCAACGGGGCCATATTTAGTTGCTAGGATAGAGGGTCGTATATGGCATCGAGAGGATTTTCATTGTCCGTTACTTTTACCAGTTTGATGCGCGCTACATCTGGAAGCATCGCGGCGAAACAAAACTTCTAACATGGCCCATTTCAATGGCACTTTCCCTGCACAAATGAGAGGATATTAAATTTTAAACGATTTATAAAAATTTGTCACAGCAAAGCTGTCATGCTGAGAGTAAATAACAAGTATGGCCTGAATCAATAAACCACCATTATTATTAGATGGTCACACCCCGATGACATAATTAGATTTGTCGCCCATGTTCTGATTCGGTGCACATCATTTGAAAGCCGGATGACATGGCATTAGCATATGTTCTTAAGCCAATTTGGCAGAAACCGCCAAGAGGCAGGTGCTCCGAGAACCCGATGGATCTGGTTGAGGAGGCGGTCAGGATCGCAATAAGGTTGCCATCGCTGGTTGCCTAACACCTGAACAGAACAGGACCGGTGAACATATTAGCCTTGTTCGCCGTGGAAGATAGGGCGTATCGGGAGGGTTGACTTTGCGAGATGCCACCTCGCTTTCCACCAGTCATTCTCTCCCGATCGCTCCAACGATTGGTGATGAACGAGTTGGCGCCGTGCCTAATCCAGTCCCCGCGAACGCCCAATAAGCGCAGCGAACAAGTCTGTACTGAATCCAGTTGCTCTAATCTTCCAATGTCGTTTATAACGGGACTTGAGTGGTGCTGCCCCTGAGTTGTCAATCTTCGATGCTGAACAGTTACTCTTTTAGTTTTTTTTACTCTTTTCAAGTGAAGAAAATGGAGAGAGGAAAACCAAAGGTCAGAGGGTTCGAGCAACCGCCACAACGGCCTTCACGGTCCGCGAACACCAGCGATTCACTTGTGCGACCCGAGTAAGCGCTGGAATCGCGCCACTCAGCAGTGGTAGGCCTGTAAGGCAGCGTTCATAGTTCGCGACAGCAGCGGCGATCGCCGCGATCGTCGGTGCATGCCAGCGCGCGCTCCAACGCTATTGTGGATGCTCGCCTGATGAATGAGGGAATTCAACTTGTCTTCTTTACTCTTAATAAGGGCTACTAACAGATAAGCTACGACTTTCTACACATAAGCAGATCTGGAATATGAGGTAAGAAGGTTTCACTTCCTTTTAGGTCGGGGTAAGACCAACTCCATTTCCTGATTGAGCTTCTTTTTTTGTTTTTATCGTTTCAATTTATGCATGCGCCTCAGGAATTCCTATCGTCTAAGCTGTTCCAACTTCCGAAACATTCATAGTTTAGAAGTCGAGTTCAAACAACGAAGAAAAAAAAGAAAGAGAAAGAAACTCTCCTAGGAACCAAAGCACTAATCATTTTACGCGACATCAACAGGTGAAAACTTGATAAACCTCATGTACAACCTCGACCAATGAAAAAAAGAAGCAATAAAAACGTACCTTAAGTGAAGCTCTCGCACCTTTTGCTCATTTCTATCCTAAATAGAAAATAGAAAACAAAAGCGATTAAGCTGGGCTCACCTTCAATTGTGTCAAACCAAGCTTCAGTACCTAAGGAAATTGCAGTTAAAGGAAAAATAGCATAAAATTGAGCCGCTTACCCCCAGAAGCCTTCGGAGCGCAGGTGGCGCGCGCTGCCATGCACCGACGATCGCGGCGATCGCCGCAGCTGTCGCGAAGTATGAAGGCTGCCTAATAGAGCTCGAAGCGGAACTCGATGAAGAATGGGTGAAAGCAATGCATCTGTGACGCGTTGCATTCATTTCGTTGTGAGATCATATCATGTCTGTGCGGCATGAAGGACCGTGTCTGTCGTCTCGCTCATCTTCCTGTTCTATCACACTTTGTGTCTGGTCTCTCGCGCGCGCCTGTGTCTCTCTTCTCAGATGCTCACCTCTGTAGTTTTATTCAAGGTGTCTTCGATGGTTCTGGTTTCTTGTTATTACTTAATCGTCTGGCACTTCTGAACGCATATTTGGACCCCACAACCCTCGAATAGCTGAGCGTGTCAAATAAGTTTCTAAGGCATACGACTTGTTTTTGTCTTTCTAGGATGACTAAATGTCAAAATATCTGATTGATGCTTGCTCACAGTACTTTTGTTCTCTCAGACAAGTCAAGTCTAATTTGAAGGCAGTGTGCACGACAGCTGGAAGCAGGCGGTTACTGCCAATATCATTGGCGGAAGGGCTGCGAGAGGGTGTTGGCACACCCTACTCAGCCCTTCCACCAATGACGTCAGCGGTAACCGCCCGCGTCCTTCCATCGTGATCACTGTCTTTGACTAACACAACGTTTGAGAAAGCCTGGGTCCACATCCGAGAAATTCGATTCGTAGCTCATGTGATTGGTGGTGGTAAGAGCCGAGTGGACGAGAGTGCCGTAAAGAAAATAAGGAATGGTCCTCCCCCCCCCCCCTCCCGCCCCCTACAATTTGTAACTGAAGTAATCACGATTCACTTCCTAGTAAGAGAGATAACCACTGTGCTCGTGTACTGAATTCAGAAAAGATATTCAATTATCCAAATCGTTCGCGCACAAACGACCAAGTAGGTCAGACATTTTACCACAAAGGCAAAATTTAATGTGGGAATGCGGGTTCACCTTCTACTCCGGTATTACTACATAAACAATTATCGATTTTAGTCATACTCGTGTCAATACAAGTACTATTCGGCAGCACAGCTGGAAAACCTGCGTCAACATTTGTTTGACGCCTGACAATTGTCAAAGAAGAACGTTCGCGAAATTCTGGCCAAGATCTGATCGGGCTGTGATCTACAGGCTTAAATATGTACTATACCTCCTTGAAAGTATTTTACTCGTGACAAGCTGCTAAATCATCGATCTCTTTGGGGATGATCAGAGCACTCACTGGTTTAATAAAGCTGTGAATTTTAAAATTTGAATGTAAGTATTCCGAACTGCATGCATGACGCGACATTCTGCGTCTCTGCCTTGGCCCGAGGTTAGACGCAGACAGTCCAGACATCGTTGAACGGAGAGCCTCACGTCAAAGTGACCCTGACACTGCTATTACACGTGGACCACGGACGTGCAACTGTGGGGCGGTATAGGTTCGGATCCAGTGATTGTTCTTTCGCCATCACTGACAGTTCGCTCCCGTTTTCCCTTTTATCGTCACGGAATGACGTCATTTTCTCACCCATTTCTTCACTTTTCATGACAATTCTCTTCTTGCTGTTCATTGAGTTTCCCTCATTTACGCCACTCTTTTCTTCCTTATTTCATCTCTATCCAATCACCGTTATCTATCACTCCTTTCCAGGGTTTTCCGTCGTCAAACTTCGATAGCAAAACCATGAGGTTGACGTTTTTATTAGGATTTCTATTCCTCTATTCAGTTGGGGTCTTTTCAGAAGAGGAAAAGAAGGTAAGTTGTCAGCCTCCTTTTCAGTCTAAATTTCAGTCGCAAAGGTGTCTTTTCAGGAGGTGAAGTACGGAACTATCATAGGTATCGATCTTGGTACAACTTACTCATGTGTCGGTGTTTACAAAAATGGACGAGTTGAAATCATCGCTAATGACCAAGGTGAGTGGGGAGAAACTTGTTCGGTGCTTACAGCGTAGAGCGGGGCCAAGTGGCAGCCCACCTGTGTCTACTTCCTTGGACAAGGCTTAGAGCGTAGACGATCAGAATCGAGATTGCTATGCGAGACAGCCAAAGGCGACTCTTGACAATCCACTCTGGGCCTGAATTTTGGTCAGGAGAAGGGACCAGAAGTGTTGCTGCATAAATCCGCTCAACCAGGTCATCACCGATTCAATTGCGACTGGTTGACTTTTCATGCCGCGTCCACCTTTCACGACTTGAGCGATTCCGTCGAGGAGCTGCGAATGACCGCGCTTCACTGCTAATTGTTGGACCGCTGCTACTGGTGGACCACCGCTGCTGACCGGACAGCTTCCCACCACTTCCTTTTTATTCCTGCTTGCTTCTTTTCACTCCTCCCTTCCTCTTTGCTCTTCCCATTTCTCTCAAATGCTCAGTTTAGATGCAGTGAGAAAGTAGCTCTGGGAGAAAGCGTAAGACTATCCAGTCCACAGAAACCACAGTAAATAAGAAGCCTCTTTTGAACATTGCAGCGGTCCAGCGATTAGCTGTGGAGCGCGGTCAGCCTCAGTCGCGCGTTTTCATAATCGAGCATTGGGTGACTCGGATCGCTGAGTATGAACGCATTGCGGCAAATCTTACACAAACGTTGTACAGTTTTGAACCACTTTTTGGTTCTGACAGAGTCGCTCCCACAAAAGCGCCTCAATTACAAACAATCTGAACCTGGGATTTACCACCTCTTAATGGCAATTACTTTCAGGTAACCGTATCACCCCATCCTATGTAGCATTTTCGGGCGACTCTGGTGAGCGTTTGATCGGTGACGCTGCCAAGAATCAGCTCACCATCAATCCCGAAAACACAGTCTTCGATGCTAAACGGTTAATTGGTCGTGACTACCAAGATAAAACCGTTCAGGACGATATCAAGCTCTGGCCTTTCAAGGTTCGTTCTCCCCTCTTCTTTCTGTCGATTTTATTTAGAAAGAAGTAGATATTTAGTGGGGGACAGTTAAGCGTTTTTGGTTTTATGAATTAAGAATTCGGTTTAAAATTGAATGGCAAAGTACTTCTGTCATCGCTCCATGCGTCCATTTTATTGATAAAAAAATGCATATTAATGTCAAACATAATTGTACATGACACGCTTCGTTGTGAATCGCACGTGCAAGGTCGTACAGAAAACGACCGACAAAGCCACAAATGGCTGCATAAATATTCGTGCATACGTTCCCCATCAGCCCAGAACTTCGTACAGCCATAGGCCCAAGATTCTACGAGACGTATTGAATTAGTTAAAAAAGCAGTATCGATTAGGTATCTGAGGTTGCGTCAATTCCTTTGAATCAATCCGTCGCATAGGTGAATACGGCGTTGGGATTAGGGTAATATCGAGGCGTCAAACAAGGGAAACTTGCCGCCCCGTCTAAAAAGACTGATATGAAAAGTTTTCAGGTTGACAACAAGAACAACAAGCCCATGGTTTCACTCAAAGTCGGCCAAGAAACAAAACAATTTGCACCGGAAGAGATTTCTGCAATGGTTTTGACGAAAATGAAGGAAATCGCTGAGTCGTACCTTGGAAAGGAGGTGAAGCACGCCGTCGTTACCGTACCAGCTTACTTCAACGATGCTCAACGACAAGCGACAAAAGACGCCGGAACAATCGCTGGATTGAATGTTGTCCGAATTATCAACGAACCCACTGCCGCCGCTATCGCTTATGGTCTTGACAAGAAAGAAGGTTTGTACTTGTTACTCTCTTTGTAATGTAACTGCAGTTGATCACGTATCGATCACATTTTACTACGCAAAAATACTGGTAAAGGTGCGGTTTTGTCAATTGCTGGGTATGGTCACTTCCTCAGGTCGAATGAATTTACCCATACTCTCCAAATTCTGGGTATCACTGAGTATGGCCTAAAGGCACGCTGCGCGATAATCGAAGAGGGACACTGTATCTCCGATGGAAGGGGTCGTAGTTACAGACCCAGAGGCACGCGTTTCAGCGGTCTCAAGAATTCATGTGCCTTCCTAACAGTGCTTGGCTTCGTCGGGCTTCAGTTCAGTTAGGTTACAAATACAAACATATAGCCTTTTCTTTGACGGAAACTACCACTTCTTCAGAGGCCACTGGTATGTGCCGCACCAAGTACAGAATGACGACCCATCTTTTCCTAGATACAGAGTGTAGATCGTGCAGACTAGCAGCTTTGGGGCCGTAAATTGTGGCATTAGTTCCTGGGATGTGCTTGGAACGATGCGGAAGGCTGTATCGTTCAGACTTCGCTACGGCAGTTCTTCGGTCGCGAAGTCTGAACGCTGCCTCATTTCTCTGCCCGCTATTTCGTACGTTATTCTGCCACGTGTACGCTGTGAGACACGTTTGAGGCGGCGATAACGATGTCGAGCTAACTGACTACCTAACCAAGCATGAGAGGACATAATTTCTGGACCTCTTTCGTGTTCCCAGCCCCATCATCAATCAGTATCTCTGCAGGACTACTTTACAGGGTCATTCATTGATCTTAAAAACATAGCGCAATTTTCTGAAGTATCTAGGGCTTGCAATTGAATGCTTGACCTGTGAATCAGAGTTCAGTCGCTGTTATAAGCCTATTTCAGGTGAGCGCAATATCCTGGTATTCGATCTGGGAGGTGGTACCTTTGATGTCTCCATGCTGACGATCGACAATGGTGTGTTCGAAGTGTTGGCGACAAATGGTGACACTCATCTTGGAGGAGAAGATTTTGACCAGCGTGTTATGGAGTATTTCATCAAGATTTACAAGAAGAAAACGGGTAAAGATATCCGCAAAGATAACCGCGCCGTCCAGAAGTTGCGTCGTGAAGTCGAGAAAGCCAAGCGAGCATTATCCACGCAGCATCAAGTGAAAGTTGAAGTGGAGTCGCTCTTTGATGGTGAAGACTTCTCCGAGTCGCTTACCCGAGCCAAATTCGAAGAGCTGAACATGGATCTCTTCCGTGCTACATTGAAACCCGTGCAGAAAGTTCTTGAAGACTCAGATCTGAAGAAGGAGGACGTTCACGAGATCGTACTCGTCGGTGGTTCCACTCGTATCCCCAAAGTCCAGCAACTCATCAAGGACTTCTTCAACGGAAAAGAGCCATCACGTGGTATCAACCCGGATGAAGCCGTCGCCTACGGTGCCGCTGTACAGGCAGGAGTGATCAGTGGTGAAGAAAATACTGGCGATATTGTACTGCTAGATGTGAATCCACTCACTCTCGGTATCGAAACCGTTGGAGGTGTGATGACAAAGCTGATCACGCGTAACACTGTTATCCCCACCAAGAAGTCTCAGGTGTTCTCCACTGCCGCCGATAATCAGCCAACAGTAACCATTCAGGTTCGTTTCTTCTACTACACATTTCTGGCCACACTTCATTCGAGTGTCTAATGCAGGGCGTATTTTATGGTGCGCAACCTAAATAAAATGCGTTCATACTTTGCGGCAGCGTCCTGAGGATTGACCGCGCACGCCCACGTTTTGAGTGACTAGGAAAGCATAGCTCTCGGTCTAGCGTTTCGAAAGCAGGGTACAACATCGTTGTGTGAAACACATAGGGATTTGTAGTTTTTGGCTGGGGAGGGGGGTCGTATTTGGTCGTTGTTGGGAGGGGGAGGGTCGTATGTGGCTTTGAGAGAAATTTGCCGCAATGGGGACAAAAATTTCCCGGTTGTTTCCTGTTTCATGTGTACCATGTGAATCTGTGCCCTGTACCTGTATGAATCTAAATCTCTGGGTGAAAAACTGAAAAAAAAACTGGAAAATGTGGGAAATTGGAAGGTAGGTACTGGGGAAGGGGGGGGGGGAGTCGTACCAAGACCCTTCCTCGTGGGGGGGGTCGTACTGGCCCCCGCCATTTTACACATCACGATGCTGTACCCTGTTCGAAGGTATGCGAGCGTACGCTAGATCGATATCTATGCTTCCCTACAGGGCAAATCATTGGTTGGGGATTTAAGTCGAGTCCGTACGACCAGCCCTTTCTTTTTTTTCGGGCGGGGGGTGGTGGTACGACCTCCCCTCGGCCCTTGTCCCTCCTCATCGAATCGAGTCGTCGAGCGGGGGAGGGGGTAAGGCCAGAACGTAAACTACGACCCCCCCCCTCCCAACAATGAACAAGTACGACCCTACCCCCCCCCCTTTTTTTCAGCGTCTGTGAAGCGAGAAAAGCAACTATCAAAATAAATTTTCTCGGCCCAAATACGACCTCCCTGTCCTTGCGGCCAAATACGACCCCCCGCTCCCTGTTGGGGACCCCCAACCACGATGTACCCGCTTTCCTAGTCGCCCAAAACGCTGGCGTACGCTCAAGGTGCTCAAAACTCTGACGCGATGTATGAACGCACTCCCGGTATTCTTAGCTAGTTGACTCAAAATAATACTTTGGTATATAATCAGTCAGGTCCAGATCTATGTCCTGTACCGTTGACCTACCTCGGCCTTAAGTCAGAAATCTTGCAATCGATAAATGCTTTCTTTTATTTCAATTTCATGGTCACTAAGTAAGTGTGCAGCCCTATAACTGGAATCGATGATCCGACACCGATCCTCGACACTTGAAGTGGAAAAGGGTACTTCATCGACTGTCGAATTTTTTTGAGATAGGACCGTAAAATAAACGGTGTGGTGCGTACGTGACGAGATGTCTGATTGACTTGATGCTCAGAGCGCCGAGTGGAGTCAACTAGTAATGAATGCTGACTTGCGCACAGTGAAGTCCTGAACCACACCAGCGGTGTTCGACTTACGAAGTAGAAACTCAGATGAAGCATGCTTCTTTCTGGCTAATTAGATGGCCAGAAGCAGCTCCTGCCAAGAGATTAAGTCCACCTCCGTAGTTATTCTTTTGAAGTGTGGAAGTTGCTTTTTACTTTACAAGCTTGTTTTCATATAAAACATCCTTATTTTGCAGGTGTTCGAAGGTGAACGGCCGATGACAAAGGATAACCATCAGCTTGGCAAATTCGATCTGACTAACATTCCACCAGCTCCTCGAGGTGTGCCACAGATTGAGGTATGTATAGCCTGCCCGGTTAGAACAGTTTAGGCTCAAAGTGGTGAAAGGTGATTACCGGTTTCTTCTCCAGGTCACATTCGAAATCGATGTCAACGGTATTCTTCATGTAACTGCTGAGGATAAGGGAACTGGTAACAAGAACAAGATTACAATCACCAACGATCAGAATCGTCTCAGCCCTGAAGATATTGAACGAATGATCAACGATGCTGAGAAGTTCGCTGAAGATGACAAGAAGGTCAAAGAACAAGTGAGTTTGTTTGAACTGTCCATTTTTTTTGCTTTTCTGTGGAACGGGTAGAATGGCTTTGCCCAGGAATCACTACAAATCCGAAGCTTAATCCTAAAGTGAAAATCAAAGATGTGAAGGCCTGAATATTCTACCACAAAGCCCACTGGGATTCCAAAGGTGTTTTAGGATTGATACTGTAGCGTTCAGACGTCGCGAAGGCAGTGATTCGGTCGCGCGTTCGGCGCGATCGATGCGCATGCTTCGACTGCATCGATCGCGTCGAACGCGCGACCAAAGCGCTGCCGTCGCAAAGTCTGAACGCTGTCTACCTCAAAGGCAGTGGGTACGATGGAAGGGGGGGGGGCGGGTATTGCCCTTGTCATTGGTGGAAGAGCTGCGAGAGGGTGTTTGGCCACATCCCACACAGTCCTTCTACCAGTGACGTTGGCAGTAACCACCCGCCTCCAGCCATCGTGCCCATTGCCTTAAACAGACCGTGAATTGCGATTCCCATTTATGGTTCAAAGTTATGTTGCACTAGGCAAGCTTGTCCGAGGCCTCATGAAAGTTTTGATTGGTGTTCACTAGAAGTTCAATTGATTTCCAGGTTCCTGCATACCTAGGAAAACCTTGAACTTTGTGTCACCTTTGGCCTCAAGGGTAACTTAGCATACCATCCTCTTTAAATAGCAGGTCCTCGGGTTGTAGGTCGAATGGGTTAGGGTGATGTGTCTGCTTGAACTCTGCCAGGTTCTGCCGCGAAACCTCCCTGCGGAAGACAGCGGCTGCCGGTTCCCAAAGACTGAACAGCGAACACCCGAGCTTTTTCAAGAGTAGAATCGTGATTGGGTGAGCCTCTCATCATATGTGATATGATGGATGTGTGAGGTAGCAGTAGTCATTGAAACGCTGTGTAGATGAGAGAGCGCCGACAACAGCAGAAAATTGAAGCGGTTTAAAGGATTAGGTTCAGGCAGCCTGCAGACCAGGGTTGGGTAGCTGGCTTTTTTTTCGAAACGCTGGCAACTAGGTGTCCTCATTATTCAGCGCTTCTCGGCCAAACACTAATTTTCATGGTACTTCAGGTGGAGGCTCGTAACGAATTGGAATCGTACGCATACTCACTGAAGAACCAAATTGGTGACAAAGAAAAACTTGGTGGAAAGTTAGATGCAGACGATAAGAAGACGATTGAAACAGCTGTAGACGAAGCTATTAGTTGGCTAGAGAGCAATCGTGAAGCTTCAGTGGATGATCTCAAGGAGCACAAGAAGGTAGGGAATGTTGATTTATTTATTTGTTTGTTGGAATGTTCCTGAACTCTTCACTTATCCCATTGTGCTTTTCAGGATTTGGAAGGAAAGGTGCAACCAATCATCAGCAAGCTCTACAAAGACGCTGGCGGTGGTGGTGGAGAAGGAGAAGCTCCACCCACCGAAGATAAGGATGAGCTGTAGAGAAGACCATATGTGATAGTCACGTCATGAACTCACGCAGAACTCCGTTGTTGTCCACTACGTACTTGTAATAATTGTGTGGGCAATATTGTTGTGCTATGCATTTGGCGGCTTTCCTCTATTTATTACGTGGTTGATGTTTATAGAGTATATTACTCGATAATAAATGTTTTATTAAGTCTAATTAGCAACTCGTAAGGTTTATTTCTTGGATATTTGAACAAGGTGGCGATGGCGATGTTTGCGGGCTATTGTTGACAATGGGTCAAGGTTATTTATTCTACGGCCAAAGTCAGAGGAATGGCGTGATTGATTGATAGGTAAGGCTTTAGATGGTGGATATCTAGCAGTCGAGATTCCCTGGTATAACAAATTCAATGGCACAATTGGTAACCACCTAGGTTCTTGGATTTGATCGATGGCGGTGTTGGTCGTAAGAACTCGTCCCAGAAGCTCCCGTCGTCCGATGTCTTTTAGTTAGAATTTTTTTTCCTTGTAACCAAGGTCCGGAACCGAGGCAGTCCTATTATACCAAGTGTGACCTTGAGCTGCTGTAGAACTTGTTTGACAATATTTCAGTTAAGGGCCTTGGTGGCGGAGCACGCCGAGTGCCCCAATGTTGGAGTTGCAAGGGCCTTGATGCGCGTATTATTCGTACTAGGACCCAATCCGCTCGACGTGGCAGTGCTGCGATGCGTCAGCTCTCGACTCTGTACGCATCTGCGACTCTGAGGTCGGCCTCTCCGAGTCCGTCTAGTCTATCAGACAGAAAATAACCTTCTAGTGCTCGGGATGCAGCGACTGGGAGATAACGTTCCTCACCCCCTCAATACCCGTTTATCGGTCCCACACAGAATAGATGTGTTTTAACCACAACTAGTCAAGCTTCATTGATTAGATTTGGGTCGCTATGTCTCATTTAAAGGCCAGAATGTTTGAAATCAGTTCGTAGGGCTGAAGGGAGGGGTAGCTTTTTTACTGCTTACTTTATGATGGTTCAGCTCATTCGCTGTTCGGCAAAGGCGGCTAAGAAGTATTAGCAGGTTCATTCGCAACAGGACCCAACTTACTCGACCTACTGGAGGAGGCGTTCGCTTGGGTGATTGCATTGCCATTGACTTGCGATGGCAAGTAAAGGTACACGTTTACCTAGTTGGATAGCTCGTTTGGTCAGGACCGTACGGTGTTCGTGATTGACGACCTACATGAAATCATGAATGTTGGGTCTCAATGAGGTCATCTCTCAGTGATCTAGTTCAAAGTTTTGGACGAGTTTTTCTAGCTGGAAGACGATTTGCATGGCATTTTTTGACATATCGGTTGTAGGGTGGTCGTTTTCAGCGACTGATCGTTGACAACGCTACCAGCCGCTCGCAACGCTTGACCCGTACCTACACTTTCCCGATCGCTCCGAACGCTTGCGCCAACTACGGATACATGATAATGTCTCTATTCGTCCCTTTTGGGAGCCGGAGAAATAAAATGGTTCCTCCTTACTTGAGGGACGCGAACCCTCCATTCCTTTTGTGCATAGCTCTCAGAGGATGTTTGACCATCAGAGCCGTTGTCGTCCTAGTGATCGCCAAAGGGATCCAGTAGGTAATGGTTTTACTCCAGCGGTCACATCATAGTCGCATGACGTGTGCGGCCGACCTTATCTTCGATTTCTTGGCAAATATTTACTGGTACTTACTGCTTACCATGCTGAAAGGAACTCTGCTGTCCAATTCGGTTAGAAACAAAGCGTTGATTCGACTTGCAGTTGTGTCGCACATTCGGGATTCTCCGATAGAGTTCACCGTTCAGCTTGAACTTTCACAGTTTAGCGAACTCAAACCGCTGTTTTATAGATTGAATTCATGGAGAAGTAAATATTTTGCGGTCTAATGAGTTTACAAATATTTGAATATTTTGTAGTTGTTTCTGGTTACGTTGAACTTGTTTGCGAGCCGGTATTGTATAGTATCTACGACGAACGGAAACTGGCTTTCGTAATCTGGAATGCCATCTCAGTGACTTGGCATGACGGTGATTCATAGGAGAAAATGTTGACGTTCTTGTGAAGCCATTCTCTGTTTCATTCATTTCTGATAGCACTCGCATTCCTTAACTGCTGGGTTATCTTCATTTTCCTTCACAGTTTCGGGCGCAGGTGTAGCAGAGGTCTTCAATAGGTCATGTGCCAAGAGATGCACCTGGTGAATAGACCAGCTCCTTCACGTGGGAACGGGTTTTCCAACTTCAGTGGTCCACCCAACTCGGAGCTCCTATCACCTCCCAAGGCTTGAGTAGGTATCCATTTTGTATTGGACTGGAGAGCAGCGCCAAGTTTTGTCATGGTCAGTGCCAGAGGGTTGCATGTTTCTCCTGATAAATAAATAAACAAATATAAGGAGGTTCTTCACCAGATGGCAGTATAATGAGCTTCATCCCCTTTTAATGCGGCAAAAAATCAGACAGCAGTCGGCATATAGGGCACTCGCGACCGCCAGCGCATTTCATCGAACAGGTGGTCATTTCATCATAATTCCATTCCACTCTTTTATTTGACTGGGAGAGGATTGATATCTTGCTTC